ATCATCCGCGGCGCTGCCGCTCGGGACACCTTCACAACCGCGGCACCGCCGCTCGGGGCATCCTCGCAACCGCGGCGCCGCCGCTCGAGACATCCTCACATCATCCGCGGCGCCGCCGCTCGAGACACCCTCACAACCGCGGCACCGCCGCTCGGGACACCCTCGCAGCCGCAGAGCAGTCGCTCGAGACATCCGCACAACCGCGGCACCGCAGCCGCAACTCCCTAGGACTCAATCAGATCACTGCCTCCCTCAGACCCGGCGCCAGACAGATAGCACACGCCCAAGAGGAGGCAGGGCGGGGGTGCGGGCTGGCGCCGACGCTCGAAACATCATCGCAACCGCGGCACCGCCGCTCGGGACATCCTCGCCACCGCGGCGCCGCCGCTCGAGACATCCTCACATCATCCGCGGCGCTGCCGCTCGGGGCACCCTCACAACCGCGGCACCGCCGCTCGGGGCATCCTCGCAACCGCGGCGCCGCCGCTCGAGACATCCTCACATCCGCGGCGCCGCCGCTCGAGACACCCTCACAACCGCGGCACCGCCGCTCAGGACACCCTCGCAGCCGCAGAGCAGACGCTCGAGACATCCGCACAACCGCGGCACCGCAGCCGCAACTCCCTAGGACTCAATCAGATCACTGCCTCCCTCAGACCCGGCGCCAGACAGATAGCACACGCCCAAGAGGAGGCAGGGCGGGGGTGCGGGCTGGCGCCGACGCTCGAAACATCATCGCAACCGCGGCACCGCCGCTCGGGACATCCTCGCCACCGCGGCGCCGCCGCTCGAGACATCCTCACATCCGCGGCGAAGCCGCTCGGGGCACCCTCACAACCGCGGCGCCGCCGCTCGAGACATCCTCACAAGCGCGGCACCGCCGCTCGAGACACCCTCACAACCCCGGCACCGCCGCTCTGGACATCCTCGCAGCTGCGGAGCCGCCGCTGGAGACATCCTTGCGACCGCGGCAACGCCGCTCAGGACACATTCGCAGCCGCGGAGCCGCTGCTCGAGACATCCTCGCAACCGCGGCACCGCAGCCGCAACTCACTAAGACTTTATCGCATCACTGCATCCCTCAGGCCCTGCGCCAGACAGATAGCACGCGCCCAAGAGGAGGCAGGGCGGGTGGGCGGGATGGCGCCGCCGCTCGAAACATCATCGCAACCGCGGAACCGCAGCTCGGGACATCCTCACCACCGCGGCGCCGCCGCTCGAGACATCCTCACATCCGCGGCGCCGCCGCTCGGGGCACCCTCACAACCGCGGCACCGCCGCTCGGGGCATCCTCGCAACCGCGGCGCCGCCGCTCGACACATCCTCATATCCGCGGCGCCGCCGCTCGAGACACCCTCACCACTGCGGCACCGCCGCTCGGGACATCCTCGCAGCCGCGGAGCCGCCGCTGGAGACATCCTCGCAACCGCGGCACCGCCGCCGCAACTCACTAGGATTCAATCAGATCACTGCCTCCCTCAGACCCTGCGCCAGACAGATAGCACACGCCCAAGAGGAGTCAGGGCGGGGGTGCGGGATGGCGCCGCCGCTCGGGACATCCCCGCAGCCGCGGAGTCGCCGCTCGGGCCATCCTCGCGAACGCGGCGCAGCCGCTCGGGGCACCCTCGCAACCGCGGCGCCGCCGCTCAGGGCATCCTCGCAACCGCGGCGCCGCCGCTCGGGACATCCTCGCAAACTCGGCGCTGCCGCTCGGGGCATGCTCGCAACCGCGGCGCCGCCGCTCGAGACACCTTCACAACCGCGGCGCCGCCGCTCGAGGCATCCTCGCAACCGCGGCGCCCTCGGGGCATCCTCGCAACCGCGGCGCCGCCGCTCGGGGCATGCTCGCAACCGCCCGCACCGCCGCTCGGGACATCGTCGCAGCCGCGGAGCCGCCGCCCCCCCGCCCTGCCTCCTCTTGGGCGCGTGCTATATGTTGGTCCCCCTCCGCGTTGTTCCTATGGTCTGTCCTCAGAGGGGACACGCGCTCTATCTTATATCTCCCGGTTTAATGGTCTGGAGGGTCATGGGTGCTAACTTGTCCGGGGCAATTTCGTTTGCACCAGGAAGAGGCGGAGGAGGAAGACGAGGAGGAGGAGGAAGACGAGGAGGAGGAGGAGGAGGAGGAGGAGAAAGACGAGGAGGAGGAGGAGGAGGAGGAGGAGGAGGAGGAGGAGCGATGAGAAGGAGCAGCAAGAGGAGATGGGGGAGAGGGCGCCCCCCCCCTCTCGGGGCCGTTGTGCTATCTGCCTGGTGCGCCCCCTTCCCCTCGGGGCATCGCGAAATCGCTCGAGTGCTCAGAAATGGCCGTTTCTCTCGAAACATCTTCAAACCATGATTTCGGAGAAGGGCCCTGAGCATCAAAATGGCCGTCTCGCTCGAGACATCATCTACAAATCGAGTTGTTGGCAATTTCGTCTTGGATCTGGGCCCCCCTCCGCCTCCTCCTGGTGCAAACGAAATTGCCCCGGGCAAGTTAGCACCCATGACCCTCCAGACCCTTAAACTGGGCGATATCAGATAGAGCGCGTGTCCCCTCTGAGGACAGACCATAGGAACAACGCGGAGGGGGACAAACATATAGCACGCGCCCAAGAGGAGGCAGGGCGGGGGGGCGGCGGCTCCGCGGCTGCGACGATGTCCCGAGCGGCGGTGCGGGCGGTTGCGAGCATGCCCCGAGCGGCGGCGCCGCGGTTGCGAGGATGCCCCGAGCGGCGGCGCCGCGGATGTGAGGATGTCTCGAGCGGCGGCGCCGCGGTTGTGAAGGTGTCTCGAGCGGCAGCGCCGCGGATGCGAGCATGTCCCGAGCGGCGGCTCCGCGGCTGCGATGATGTTTCGAGCGGCGGCGCCATCCCGCTCCCCCCCGCCCTGCCTTCTCTTGGAGCTGTGCTATCTGGTTGTCCCCCTCCGCGTTGCTCCTCAGGTCTGTCCTCAAATTAGGACACGCGCTCTATCTGATATGCTCCGGTTTGGGGGTCTGCAGGGTCATGCGTGCTAACTTATCGTTTCGGTAGTTCGCTCTATCTGATTATCTGACCGTCCCCCGGGGTAATAATTTAGATTCACCCTTTCTAGGCAGCGGAGCTGGGTAAGGGTCCTAACATGTGTCCTCATGGGGTTGTTCCCCAATCAGTGCTTGCACTGAAGGGGTCCTAGCGGATATTGAAGGATTTGGCGAAAGTTCAGGGCCGATTTCGGTAGGCGGCCGGGTCAACCGGTTCTCGGTTCTGGGTTCCCGGGTTCCCGGTTCCGGGCTCAGGGCCGATTTCGGTGGGCGGCGGGGCTCCGGGGTTCCCGGGTTCTTGGTCGATTTTCTTATCGATCGGTCTCATCATCGATCTCATTACCCACTTCTCTATCGATCTCACCATCGGTCTCACAATTTATCTCGCTATCGATCTCTTAAACGATTTCATTATTGATCGAAGCTGTGCTGTGCTGAAGCGAGGTTCCTTGGAGCCTTTTCAAAGAGCCAGCTGGGAGCCTTTGGAGGTTCATGATGCGCGAAATGCGCGAGGGCTGTGCCGAATTGAAGCTTCCAAGAACATAGAGGTACGAGCCCTTCGTGCTTTTACGTGTTCCAGAAGCCTGGGAACGCAGATACATAGTGATGTCACGTGCTCTATGAGCATGATAGCGCAGATCATTTGTTGTCTGCGCATCCCAGCATGGTTGGGCCGCTCCTAGCACATGCATTCTGCAGGGAATCGCAACCCGCCTATCCTAAGTGTGCAACCTTGTAACCTCCAACACGGCTCTGATAGCCCTGCTCCCACTCCGCTCTCGCAGGGGGCCCGCGGAATTGAGCCCGCAGAGCGGGATTCATGGTGGGCCCCCCGGGGGAAATTCGCACGAAGATGTCGCAATCAGTGGGTGTTCGGGGGTATAGTTTCGACGAGGGTCGGTACCACTCATTGCAGTTTTCCCAGGGCCATCTTGGCATTCCTGCACCCCCAGGCTGTCTCAGCAACCAACAGGGCCTTTGGGGGTCCATGGGGCACGAAGTGCGTGAGGGGTGCGCTGAGTCGAAGCTCCCTTGAACCGTCTGAGGGGTCAGTTGAGGGCCCCGTGGAGTAAATGAAGCACGAAGTGCGAGGGGTGTGCTTAATTGAGGCTCCGCTCAGGCATCTTGAAGGCCAGCAGGGGGTTCGTGGGGCGCGATTTTTTTACGTAAGGGGTAAGGGATGTGTCGAACTGAGGCCCCCCATGGGCCGTCTTTGGGGTCAGCTGGGCCCCCATGATTCATGACATACGTGAGGGGTGTGCCGAAGAGAGGCTTCGTGGAGAATTGAGCTGCGAATCTCTGGTGATTCGACGTGTCTTAGGGGGCATGGGGGGGGGGGGGGGCAGAACACGCGTGAGGCGTGTGCCCGATCGAGGCCTTCGTGGCCTTGGGGACATGTGTCGTTCGTAACGTTACGCGCCCCAGAAGAGTATATAACAAGTGACATCGTTTCGGGGCCAGCATGAGGAACGAAACACGCTCCCGCTCTTCGTGCGCTACTCGGGCAACTCCGGCCCAGTGAGGTCCGCAGACCAAGCCAGGGGCACCCTCGCGCGCACTCGGGCCGTCACAAGAAACAGCTCAACCACACAAACAGGATTTGCGCCTGTGTGCGGGGTCTGGCGCACCGTTGGCCAGATTGGTTGGCGAATTTGTGTGGACGAGTGGGGGAGGAGGAGGAGGAGGAGGAGGAGGAGGAGGACGGACAGGATTTTGACAGTGCTCCGCTGCCAGCCAAACTTCAGAATGCAAAAAATGGAGGAGGCATAGGAGGAGCGGGAAGAGGGGTGGAGTAGGACGAGGAGGAGGAAGAGGAATAATGAGAAGAGGAGGAGGAGGAGGATGAGGAGGAGGAGGAGGCGGAGTGGAAGGAGGAGGAGGAGGAGGAGAAGGAGGAGGAGGAGGAGGAGGAGGGGAGGAGGAGGAGGAGGAGGAGGAGGAGGAGGAGGAGGAGGCGGAGAGCGACCGCCCCGTTTGGCGGCTCGCCGCAACCGAGGAGAAGAACGATCAGGCCGAGCAGCTCCGCGCCGAGAAGGAGAACTTGCGGCTCCGCCAGGCTGGGGTGCCCTCCTCCTGCTCCTCCTGATCCTCCCCTCCCCCTCCTCCCTCTTCTCCATGTTCCTCCGCATTCGTTATTCATCTGTTTCCCCCCTGTTCCTCGTCCTCAATATTCCTCCTCCATCGTCCTTCTCCTCGTTCTCCTCCTCCTACTCCTCCTCCTCCTCCATATTCCTTCTCCTCCTCCCCCTCCCCCTCCTCCATCTTCTACCTCGTCTTGTCCTCTTCCTCTTCTTCTTCCTCCTCCCCACTTTTGTCCTTTGGTTGGGGTGCCTCCTCCTCCTCCTCCTCCTCCCTTTTGTTCTTTGGTTGAGGTGCCGCCTCCTCCGCCTCCTCCATATTATTCATTCATGTTCCTCCTCCACCTTCCTCATCTTCGTCTCCTCCTCCTCCTCCTCCTCCTCCTCCTCCTCCTCCTCCTCCTCCTCAGTGAGGGCTCGCCCCCCCCCCCCCGCTTTCGCCCCGGCAGGCGCTGAACCACGAGCTGAAGCGCGCGGGGCCTCGGGCGCAGGCCAGCAGTGCTCGGCCGCCTTCTCACGCTGGCGACTGGCGCACTCAAGCTCCGGCGGATTAGCCCCGCACTCCGAACATTTGGCAGATCCCAGCCGCCACCAAGACTAGGGAAGCAGATGTATGTCCTCTCTTCGTATGCGTCCGTTCCACCGGCCTCGGGCCAGGCGTCGATCTCGGCACCCGCGGGCCAGAGGAGATCTTCTGGGGGAGGTTGGCGCGAGGAAGAGACCTCCTTGGATCGCCGCTGCTTCTCCCCTTCCCCCTCCCACTCGCATTTCACTCCCCACATCCAAAGTGGTGCTCTTGTTTTGTCTGCACACCCCGCGAAGGATCTCTGCCGACCCCCTCTCTTCCTCACCATCACCACCACCACCACCACCATCATCATCATCATCATCATCATCATCATCATCATCATCATCATCATCTTCATCATCATCATCATCATCATCATCATCCCCATCACCATCACCATCACCATCATCATCATCATCATCATCATCATCATCATCATCATCATCATCATCATTATCATCATCGTCATCGTCATCGTCATCGTCATCGTCGTCATCATCATCATCATCGTTATCGTCGTCATTGTCATCATCATCGTCTTTATTATTGTAAGTATTGTTATTGTTATCATCATCATCTACAACAACACCTTGATGTCATTATTGCCATCATAGTCATCATCATCATCATCAGCATTATCATCAACATCATTATCCTCACCATCATCAAAGTCATCATCACTACCACGATCACCATCATCACCATCACTATCATTATTCCACCATCATCGCGATCACCATCTAACCATGATCATCACTTCCTCGTCATTACCGTCATCACTCTCACATCATCATCATCATCATCATCGTCATCATCATGAGCATCAGCATCACCATCATCAAACACCACCACCATAATAATCATACTCATCATACTTGTCATCATCACCATCATCGTCGTCAGCAGCACCAACATCATGAGCATCATGATCACCATCATCACCATCATCACCACCAACATCAACATTATTAGCATCATCGACATCATCGGCATCACCATCATCATCATAATCGTCATTCTCATCGTAATCATAGTCATCACCACCACCATCGTCGCCATCACCACCATCACCACCATCATCGTCGTCATCATCAGCATCATTATCATTGTCATCATCGTCATCGTCATCGTCATCGCACACACATGCACTTATCTTGGGAAGTCTCAGGCGGGAGCCCCCTCCCTATGGGGCTCGAAGCTCATTTTTGTTTTAAATTCTGAGCGGGTCATCGGACCCCTGCAACTGTCGTGGTTTGGGCACTTCAGTTTTGAAAAGCGGAAGGCTTGAGCGGGAGCTTCGATGTTGACTGAATTGCGAAGATGTCTCAGGCGGGAGCCCCCTCCTTGTGAGGCCCGCAGCTCATGCTAATCCGAACGGGTCCTCAGAACCTGGCAACCGTCGTCAGTTTGGGGCTCTTCAGTTCTGACTAGCGGAAGTCTTGAGCGGGAGCTTCGTTTTTGAGTGAATTGCAAATAAGTCTCAGGCAGAACCCCCCTCCCAGTGTGGCCCGCAGCTCATGTTATTAATCCGAACGGGTCATCAGAACCTGGCAATTGTCGTCAGTTTGGGGCTCTTCAGTTTCGAAAGCGGCGGAAGTCTCCAGCGGGAGCATGGTCTGTGAGTGAATTGCGAGGAAGTTTAAGACGGAACCCCCTCCTTGTGGGGCCCGCAGCTCACGTTGTTATCCGAGCGGGCCATCGGCACCTCGTAACTTGTCGTCACGTCTGGGCTCCTCAGTCCGAATTTGGTGGGAGTCTCGAGCGGGAGCATGGTCTGTGAGTGAATTGCGAGGAAGTCTCAGGCGGGAGTTCTCTCACAACGAGGTCCGCAGCTCATGTTATTAACCCCAGCGGGTCATTGGAACTTTGAAATTGTCGTTAGTTTTGGGCTTGAGCACGGCGGAAGTCTCGAGCGGGAAACTCGTCTGTGAGTGATTTGCGAGGAAGTTTCAGGCAGGAGCCCCCTCCCTGTGAGGCCCGCAGCTCATGTAATTAATCGGAACGGGCCATCGGAACCTTGTGACTGTAGTCGCGGTTGGGTTCCTCAGTCTTGAGTACGGCGGAAGTCTCGAGCTGGAAAATCGTATGTGAATGACTTGCGAGGAAGTTGCAGGCGTGACCCCCTTCCTTGTGAGACCCGCAGCTGATGTTATTAATCCGAACGAATCATCGGAACCTCGTAACTGCCATCATGTTTGGTTCTTGAAGCTTGAGTGTCGAGAAAGCCTGTGGCGGGAGCGCTGTCTGTCAGTGAACGGCGAGTAATTCTTAGGCGGGAACTCCCCTCCTTCTGGGGCCCACAGCTCCTATTACTAATCCGAGCGGGTCTTCGGAAGATTGTACCCGTTGTCATTTTTTATCACTCCTGGTTTCTTGAAGTGTGGATCTGGGGGAAGTCTCGAGCGGGAGCCTTGTCTGTGAGTGATTTTGCGAGAAAATGCGTGCGGAACATGCTGATCCTGCGGCCGCCCACGCGAGAGTTCGTGGAGCGCGGGCCGCCGGCTTCATTGCGAAAGACCTTCAGGAGGTTCGACAAGAGAGCGGGGAACACCAGGGCTGAGGCGGAACACCTCGCGGCAGAGCTGGGTTTGGCGCTGCCTCCCGCCTGAGCGCGGCCGCGACCAGCTCGAGACCTGCGGGGTTGTCCCGGCGGCTTGCTCCCGCGCCCCAGCGGCTCGTGGCGTTGCACCAAGCACCAATAGCCTGGCCCACGGAGGTGCCCCAACGGCTTCGCGATCTGGCCATCGGAAACCGCGCGTGTGCTGGCCGTGGCGGCAACGGCGCCAAGGAACATCGATTTTCGCGCCCCTGCTGCAAGGGACAGGGGAGGAGGTGGATGGGGGAGAAGAGGCAAGAAAACGAGGAGGAGGAGGAGGAGGAGGAGGAAGAGGAGGAAGCAGAGCAGGGGGCGCGAAAAGGGCCTCCGCCAGAGCACGCGGGCGACGACGAGATCTGTTTCCAGATTCTTTCGGGTGCTTTCATGTGGTTTTCCCGTCGGAGTAAGTATTGCTGTTACTCGTGCTATCCAGTCGAGCAAGTTGACGCGCGGCCCACCAACAGAGGCACCGTGCCACTACCGCGTGGCCTGAGTCAAACTGCGCATGCGTTGATCGCCTAGAGCACGCCACGTTCGATCGTTCCCCCCTCTCACACCCTCCTTTTTGTCCGCTTCCCCTCTCTCCCCCTCTCGCTTGTTTCCTTTTCCCCATGCCCTTCCCCCGTGTTTTTGTTTTCATCCCTCCTCCTCCTCCTCCTCCTCCTCCTCCTCCTTCTCCTCCTCCTCCACAGTTTCCCCCATTTCTCTCCCCGCCGCCGCGTGCGTCTACGCCTGCGTTTTCACCTTCGCTTCCGGTTCCGCCTCTTCCCACCTTCGCCCTTCTCATGATGATGATTATTCCCAACCCTCCTGTGTTGGGTTTTCGTCTCGAATAGAGCAGTGTGGTCGCCCCGTCCTTCCTCTTTCCTCCTTCCATCTCCTCCCCTCCTTTTTCTCTTTTGTTTCCTGTGTTCCCCTCTCCTCTTCTCTCGTGCCGTCGGGCTGCGATCTGCGCAACTGACGCCACTTTCGTGGGCACTCGGGAAACCCAGCGGAGGCACGTCCCACGCGGAACACCTCGGGACCTCGCCGCCCCCTGGGGGGCTTGCGATCTGCGCAACTGTCACCACTTTCGTGGGCTCCTGGGAGGCCCAACGGAGGTACGTCCCCCGCGGACCACCTCGGTACCTCGCCTTCCCCTGGGGGGCTTGCGATCTGCGCACCTGTCGCCACTTTCGTGGGGGTCCAGCGGAGACCCGGCGGAGGTGCGTCCCACGCGGACCACCTCGGTACCTCGCCGCCCCCTGGGGGGCTTGCGATCTGCGCAACTGTCGCCATTGTCGTGGACTCTTGGGAGGCCCAGCGGAGGCACGTCCCCCGCTGACCACCTCGGTACCTCGCCGCCCCCTGGGGGGCTTGCGATATGCGCAATTGTCACCACTTTCGTGGGCTCCTGGGAGGCCCAACGGAGGTACGTCCCCCGCGGACCACCTCGATACCTCGCCGCCCCCTTGGGGGGCTTGCGATCTGCGCACCTGTCGACACTTTCGTGGGGGGTCCAGCGGAGGCCCGGCGGAGGCACGGCCCACGCGGACCACCTCGGTACCTCGTCCCCTGCTGACCACCTCGGTACCTCGCCTTCCCCTGGGGGGCTTGCGATCTGCGCAACTGTCGCCACTTTCGTGGGGGTCCACCGGAGACCCGGCGGAGGTGCGTCCCACGCGGACCACCTCGGTACCTCGCCGCCCCCTGGGGGGCTTGCGATCTGCGCAACTGTCGCCACTTTCGTGAGGGTCCAGCGGAGGCCTTGCGATCTGCGCAATTGTCGCCACTTTCGTGGGCTCCTGGGAGGCCCAGCGGAGGCACGTCCCACGCGGACCACCTCGGTACCTCGCCGCCCCCTGGGGGGCTTGCGATCTGCGCAATTGTCGCCACTTTCGTGGGTTCCTGGGAAGCCCAGCGGAGGCACGTCCCACGCGGACCACCTCGGTACCTCGCCTTCCCCTGGGGGGCTTGCGATCTGCGCACCTGTCGCCACTGTCGTGGGGGTCCAGCGGAGGCCCGGCGGAGGTGCGTCCCACGCGGACCACCTCGGTACCTCGCCGCCCCCTGGGGGGCTTGCGATCTGCGCACCTGTCGCCACTTTCGTGGGGGTCCAGCGGAGGCCCGGCGGAGGTGCGTCCCACGCGGACCACCTCGGTACCTCGCCGCCCCCTTGGGGGCTTGCGATCTGCGCACTTGTCGCCACTTTCGTGGGTTCCTGGGAAGCCCAGGGAGGCACGTCCCACGCGGACCACCTCGGGACCTCGCCGCCCCTTGGGGGGCTTGCGATCTGCGCAACTGTCGCCCTTTTCGTGGGCTCCTGGGAGGCCCAGCGGAGGCACGGCCCACGCGGACCACCTCGGGACCTCGCCGCCCCCTGGGGGGCTTGCGATCTGCGCAACTGTCGCCGTTGTCGTGGACTCCTGGGAAGCCCAGCGGAGGCACGTCCCACGCGGACCACCTCGGTACCTCGCCGCCCCCTGGGGGGCTTGCGATCTGCGCAATTGTCGCCACTTCCGTGGGCTCTTGGGATGCCCAGCGGAGGCACGTCCCACGCGGACCACCTCGGTACCTTGCCGCCCCCTGGGGGGCTTGCGATATGCGCAATTGTCGCCACTTTCGTGGGCTCCTGGGAAGCCCAGCGGAGGCACGTCCCACGCGGACCACCTCGGTACCTCGCCGCCCCCTGGGGTGCTTGCGATCTGCGCAATTGTCGCCACTTTCGTGGGCTCCTGGGATGTCCAGCGGAGGTACGTTTCTTTCAACGCCCTTGTGTTTCCACTTTGTATATTTGCCGTTCCTCTTCTTGCTGCGCTCTTCTGAAATTACTGCTGGGTGCTCTTCGTGCGCACTGCGGGTCCTTCAGAATGCTGGTCAGCATTGAGTGGTCCTGAGTATAATCGCCACATGTATAGAAAGGGGTGGGTACGTCACAGGGTATTTCGTTTTCTTTTCCCCACCGCTCTTGCGCTCCAGCTCCGCCATGTTCAAGACGGTCCCGCCATTCCGCCAGCCCCCACAACAACATTTCATAATGTTTGGTCTTCGCTAGCTTCACGTTACCTGTGTTTGTGTTTGTTGAGGTACCGACGACCATGGATCTGTCAGAGCTTGGTAGGAGTCAACCATCTTTCCTGGATCCTTCGCTGTTCGAGCCTGTTGGGAACCTCTTGGATTTACTTGGGGATACTTGGGGGCCTCGGGGGCGGCCTCTTGGGACCCTTTGGGGGCTCCCGGGGGTTTCGGGTGGGCTTCTGGGGGGCTTCTTGGAGGCGTACCGTGGGTCGCGGGGACCATCTGAAAGATAAGGCTCCCAGGGCCCATGCGAGTTTTCCCTCTTGGGCCTCTCCTGGGGCCGTCTTGAGGGCTGTGTTTTGCCGTCTTACGGGCCTCTTGAGCCGTCTTGGGGCAGCCTTGGATCGTCTCCGGGCCCTCTTGGGGTTTTCCTGGGCCGTCTTGGGCCGGTCTGGGGGTCCTCTCGGGTCGTCTTGTGCTGTCGGAAGCCCGAAAAGTTGAGGGCACGGAAGTCGTGCGAAAGCTTTTTGGGAAAGTCAGTGATCTGTGCCGCTCGAAGCCCTCTGGGATCCCCCAGCCCTCTTGGGGCGTCGTGGGCCGCCTGGAGGCTTCTCGTGAGTGTTCTGGAGGCCGCTCCAGCGTGTGGCGGCCCTTCTCGAATCAGCTTGGACGGCATTTTGGGCAGGTTTGGGGGCTCCGAGGGCCGAGGAGGTGCGGTGGTGAGCTCGCCCCCCCCCGCTCCCCAACACCAAGGGCTCCCACGAGGAGGCTAAGTTATTCGCGCTTCGCGGTCCTCGTTCCCTCTCCCCCTCCTTTTCGTCCTCCCTTTCTCCCTTTGGGGGGGCGGCGCGAGAGCGCGAAGTTATTCGCGCTTCGCGGAGCGCGATGCGTGAAGTTGGGAGCCCCAGCAACACTCCGACATTTGGGACCCTGGGGGAGGGGGGCATGGGGGAGGGGGGACAGCCGATCATCTCACACGCCTGCTCGCCCCCAGCAAGCGGGGTCGGCGGATCCCCCACCCTCGCACCCCACCCTCCCTCATCCTCCCTCCGCGTGGTATCCTCTCGCCCCCTGTCGATGGATGGTCTGCTCAGGGTCAGCCCCTCCCTTCACTTTTCCCCCCCCTCCCTCCCCCCTTCCTGCGGGCGGGTGGCGGAGGTGGTCTGCCGTGCGGGTGGCGGAGGTGGTCTGTCCCGCGCCACCCCGCCGAGCCACCACCAGCGAAGGTTGAGAACGGCTCGTTGCCCAGTCCAGCGTTGCGTCAACCCCCCTTTCCTGGCCCTTCCCCGCCCCCCCCGCCCCCACCCCGCACACGGCCTCCCCGGCGCGGAGCCGTCTTCCCGTTCATCGGGGAGCAAACAATTGCAGCAACACAGATTTCAGAGGTCCAGCGCCGATCCGAGAGATCCGCGCGGACCTCCTCAAGTTTGTGTCTCTGTCATTGCTTGTTTCCCGAAGTCATCCTTCCCTGGCCACCGGCACCCCATCTGGCGCTGGGCCCCTTCGACCCCCCCCAAGTCCAGGTCGCCCGCATGGGCGCCAAGATACCTTCGCTCCTTCGCTTCGCGGCTTCGGCTGGAGAGCCGCCCTCCTCCGTGAGGGAGCGTGCGATGGCGAGACGTCCGGCGACTTGAGCCTCTTGTCAGTGTCGTTGAAAACGATCTCCATCCCCATCCCCGTCCTGATCCCCACCATCCCACCCTCCCAGTTGGGTATATGCCCCTCGAAACCCGAAGGGACCAGCCTCTATACCCATCTAGGGGGGTAAGTCGGCCAGTGGGGTCTGGTCCACGCCAGTGGGGATAGGGATCGGTTAAACATGGTTAAACGATGCTCATGATTCGATCCCCTGGCGATAACGGGCGTGACAGGTGGTGGGTAGGGGCGGTTACTATACGATTCGCGCTGGCGGCGTCTTGGAATGCATAGTATGGCCCATTCCCAGACGGCGCCGGCGCGAATAGTGACGTGGCCAGGGGGAGGGGACACGGTCACGGGCGTTGTCGCGAATGATCAGAAATTGGGCTCCTTGGCTACCCAGCTCGGCCCAGGCGAGCAGGACGCGCCCAGGCTCGATGGGCACCTCAGCATAGACCTGGCGGAGGGGGTGCTGCTGATCCCACTGGCCGGCAGCATCTTGCGGCTGAAGCTGGCGGGGATCGAGAGCGTCACGAGAACGCTGGACGAGGGATGCGCCCAGCTGCGCGTGAGGCCCTCGGAGGGCGCCAACGTACCCCCGTGCGCCGACTGGCTGGGCCGATCCTGGGCACAGGATCGGCGCCTGCCCCCTCCCTGGCCAGACCAGGAGGGCGCGTGCACCGACCTTGCGTCCATGATGGGCCCGGCCAGGATCCTTTGGTCACCCGCCCCGAAGACAGTCGCGCTTCGGGCATCGCGGCTCGGGTCGGAGAGGCGCCCTTTTCCAAGGCAGCGGCGCGAGGGCGCGAAGATAGCTGCGCGTCGCGCATCGGGGAGCGCGGTGCGCGAAGTCAGGTGACCTGCGAGTCCCAGGTCACCCACGGGAGCACGAAGAGAGTCGCGTGTCGCTCGCCCCCCGTGCTTGCTGCTCGTGCGGGCCTTCTGGCCCCCCCCCACTCGCGCCAAACCCGTCCAGACGCGAAACAAACGCCCTCCAAACACACCCGCGAACTGGGTCACCCCCAGGGGCGCGAAGATAGTCGCGTTCCGCGCGTCGTGGCTTGGGTTGGAAAGGGTCTCCAGGGCGGCGGCGCGAGGGCACAAAATTTGCCCGCGCGTCGTGCGCTGCGGGGCGCAATGCGCGAAGTTAGGCGACCCAGGCGAATGACAGCCCCCTTCCCACGCGGCCACTCGGGTCGGACGAAAGGGGGGAATAGGGAAAAGGGGGGGTGCAACATCGGCTGCATGCAGCTGGTTTCGGCCCCCGCCGGGCGCTTTCCTTGATGCATTGGCGCCTTTGGTGCTGCGAGACCCCAGTTCAACCAGCTATGTGAGCTGCTCCCCTAGCCCTCCCTTATCCAGCTGCCTGCGGCAAGTCCCGCCACAGTGGCAGCCCAGCTTTCCGGGTGACGATTGTTCGGGGGGGGCACGGGAGGCCGTCACGTGTGGCACCTCGTGTCTCCAGAGTTGGGAATGCCGTGATGATGAGTATGATGATGATGATGATGATGATGATGATGATGATGATGATGATGATGATGATGATGATGCTGATGCTGATGCTGATGCTGATGCTGATGCTGATGATGATGATAATATGACGATGGTGTTGATGCTGATAATGATGAGGATGAGGATGGGGATGGGGATGGGGATGATGAGGACGAGGAGGAGTATGAAGACGACCATGATCATGACGACGACGAGGACGATGATGGATGTGCTTGCTCGGGAATGTTGTCTGCGGTGTTGGAGCACCGCCGTCTCATCGCCATCGTTCCACTGACACGATCGCTCAAGGTTTTTCCGGCTATGAGGCAGCCCGCGCCACGATCCTGGTGCTCGCGCGCGGGGCCAGCACTGGGGCGGCACTGTGGGGCGCGGGCCATCCTTGTCAGCCTTGCGCCCCAGTCCTGCAGTTCCCTTCGGTGCCGGCGACCACATGCACCTGCGAGACGCCGTCGCCCCTGGCCGAGGCCGGCGCCGTGGCGGTGTTGGGCTGCTGGTCGTTTGGGCGTACGTGCTGGGCGCGGTGTGGGGCCTCGCGACCCCCGAGCGGCGTTCGGCGTACGTGCCGGCCCCCCACGGCCGTGGAGGAGGAGGCGGTCGCGTCGCTCGAAGAGCAGGCGCGGGCGCAGCTGCCGTTCGTGAGCGGCCGAGGCGTTGCAGCTCGAGCGTGATGGCGAGCAACGCAGGGAGCTATGCGATGGCATCGTGCCAAGGCGTCCCGGGCCCCGCCGTGCACCACGTGAGGTTGGTTCGGCCGTCCGCCCGGGGTCTCTCAACGCCTTCAGGCTTACGCCCGATCTCGGGTACTACGAGTCGCACACCGGCGGGCTGGACTCCGTCAGCGTGCATGTCTGGGCATGCGCTAGGGAGGTGCCGCCTGGAGCCGCCGCTGGGCAGGTCTACGGATTTCGATCGGCGCCGTCCCAGGCGGTGATCGACGCGTTCTCGATGTTGGGAGCTCACCGTTTGGGTGTGCCGTGCATGCCGTTGCCGCTCGCGTGCCACTTCAATCCGCCTGGCGGGGAGGATGCCGTGGAGGATCGTGGAGGCTACTCGATCGAGAACGTCGTTTGCCACCAGCTGCCGCTCGGCACCGTCGGGATCGGCGGCGACGCCTGCATCCACGTGGCTGCCGTCTCCGCGGCGGTGACGCAGCTCTCGGCTGCGGACGCGATGGTGGTCGCCAAGGGCGACCATCGCACGTTGGCGGTGAGGCATGATGTCCAGGGCGCACTCCGTCGCACATGGGGCGACGCCGTGGCCAACTCGTCAGAGGAGGTCATCGCATGGGATCTTCAGGGGCCTCGCGCCATCCTCTCGGGCATGCAGCACGTGCGGGATAATGACAACCGCGCCCTCCACTCGCACGAGAACTGGGTGTGCCGCTCCGAGGAGCCCGCACGAGGTGGGAGCATCGACGAGCATAAGGTTTTCTGTCGCACCCTTTACGCGGCGGCGATGCAGGATCGATTGAACTGCCCGTCGCCCAAATGCCTGGAGCTGGCCTCGCGATGCCTCGCGCTGATCAAGGTGGCGTCCCAGGTCTCGCCGAGCCGGCCCGACTACAGTACGGCCGACCTGTTCATGGGCTGGAGTCTCCGCGCGGGTAGCGGGGCCATCGCTCGCGGCCTGTCGGCCCACGTCGCCGATCAGCTCAGGCCGGAGTCGGCGATCTTGGCGGAGGCTCAAAAGGCGCAGGACGAGACCAACGCGAGGGCTAAGGATAGTGGGACAGGGTAGCAAGGCCGGCGAGCGAGGGGGGCAGGCGGGCCCAACCTCTCGCCCAGTTCGCCGGCGGCTTCGACGTCGGCACGCCAAAGGACCCAGGGCCAAGGAGAGTATCCAGGCCATGAACAAGCTCTACGGCGCGCCCTCTTTCTCTTCGTCGCCGGCACCGCCAAAGGCGGACAGGGGCGCGGCCCAGTCAGCGGCTCAGCGCTCAGTTTTGAGGCACGTTCTTCCCGCAGGCGCGCCTGCTTTTGCGCGGCAGCGCGAAGCCGCCCGCGAGCTTCTCGGCCCCGGCCTCGTCTACGACAGTGGAGAGGTTCCAAGTGCTGTGCCCAGGTTCGACGCCGCGCTGATCGCGGTACCCGAGGAGTTGGAGCAGCCTCCCGCCGCACTTGATGTTCTCGATCCTGAAGGCCCGATACCTCCAGGAATTTCGATCGCGCATGATGTTGTCAGAGGATGAGTTTGGCCAGCGGTGCGAGAGCGAGGCCCCAGTCGTCCCATGCATGGGCCCTGCGCTCGCCTCGGACTCTGGCAAATATGCGGACTTTGTGGCACCGCTGGGCCGAGCAAGCATGCTGAGGTACTCGACCAACGCTCAGGACCCCATCACGCCGTCAGGGCTCGAGCAAAAAGGTGTTTTGGCAATTTCGTGGGCCGTTTTCGTCTTGACTTCGTTTAGCAGCAGATGTGGAACGAAGACAGATCTAGGGATGACGAAAAGAAGACGAAAACGGAAAACATGGTTTAATTCGAGCCTTGCACACCGTTCTTCGTCCGTAGGAAGTCTGGGCAGCTGCGAATTGCGTGGGATTGCAGGGCAGTCAACACGAGGTTCGCGAAGTGCCCCAGGATGTGCATGTCGTCGGGGAGCAAGCTCGCGGACCTCGAGTTCGGCCAGGATGGGGAGGTGTTCAGAGCGCAGGAGGACCCGGCGAACTACTTCTACCACCTCGCGATCGCGGAGGAGCTGTCCGAGTGCTTCGCCCTCCCCGCGGTCGACGTGGCCCTGCTGAGGACCATGTGCAGGCTCCCCCCCGACCTCGCTGCGCTGCCCGACGGCAGCATGGCGTCGCCTTGCCTCGCGGTGGTCCCGATGGGCTGGAGTTGGGCGATGCGTGTTGCCCAGCGCGCGGTCTACCACCAGTCCACGCGCAGCAAGGCTGCGGCGGTGGATCGCACCCTGAGTGACGAGCGGCCCGCCCCGGACATGTCGGACGACAAGCCAGCGCTGCTCGCCTACGCCGGCAACCTGAACGTCGTTGGCTCCGACGCGCAGCGCGCGGGGGCCCTGCGGGGCGAGCTGGTTGGCCACTTCAGGCGCGTCGGGTTCGTCGTGCATGAGATCTACGGGCCATCCGCGGACGCCGTCGCTCTGGGCTGCAAGGCTATGGGCCGCGAGAGGCTCGTCGCCCCCGCGGACCGCAAGCTGGAGTTGCTAAGGGCTGCGGGGCTCTGGCTTCTGCGGCGCCCCCGCATCGGCGGTGAAGTTTGGGGGCGGTTCGTGGGGCATTGCGCTCATTTGTGCATGCTGCGTCGTGGAACGTTCGCTATCTTCCATCGCGTTTACTCCTTCATCTCGGCTCGCGCCGTCAGCCGCTGCCGTGTCTGGGGTTCAGTGTGCAAAAAGATCAGGTGGTTCCTCGCGCTGCTGCCTTTTTGCCGGGCGCGGCTCGATAGACCATGGTGCTTGAAGGTCACTTCGTCCGACGCCTGCCTCCCTCGGCATGTTGCATGCTCGCGGGTGCTCGACTCAAACGTCGTCAAGTCGCTCGGGGCCCTCATGGAGAAGTCCAGGTACAGGCTGGGGCCCCCGATATCAGGACTCGAGGCCACTCGCTGTTAGGTGCGGACATTTTCAACAACATCAACACTATCAAGCCCGTGGACCCCTACGAGACTCCATAGGCCTGGGACGAGAACCCCATCTTCGTCGAGATCCCTCAGGAGCTCCTGGACCCCAAGGATTGGCAGCTCGATTTCGCGGCTCGATTCCTGGAGGCCGAAAGCATCATGGTACTTGAAGGTAGGGGCTCGGTGGCAACCCTGAGGCACCAACTTCGTTCTGGCGTCTTTCGGCTGCTCACTTCTACGCCTTGGGATAATATATCGCTCATTTTGGCTTCAGAGAAGGGCTGGTATTCTGCTCCAGGATTGTTGAGGATCTGTCGGCGCCTGCTCGCCCTCGCCCTCGTCGCCGATGTGCGGGCGCACCGCCGGTGGCACCCGTCCGAGCTGAACGCCGCGGATGGTGGCTCGCGGCTCTGGGAGGGCACAGACGCGCTCTTGCGCGGTCCTGAGGCGCCCGGTTTCGTCCAAGGGCCATGTCAAGCTGA